ATCTATAATAAAATAACATGATAAGCATGAATGAAAGTTATGTTTCAGTGATGAAATTTTTTTTATATACTCGGCTATATCGAACTCGAATGCGCTCTGGAGGTGTCACTTCAAGAAATATGATGCGAAATGTTCTCTTCGCTTCACTCTTTCTTCAGTGTGACTTGCATTATATGAATCCCAGGAGTTCTATTTTGTATATGCACACTAAATGTAGCATCACCCATTATTCGTTCATTTTGAAAATTTCGAATGATATGAGACAGCTATTGTTTCACTGGCGTAGTAGTGTTCGACGTACTCTCAAATTGTTATAATAACTGGTCCTTTTGTGTATGATGGTTGTGTTCGACTCTTCGTATACATCACCTTGATATAATGAGGGCGTGAGTGTGGATGACGTGATGATCTACACCCACATCCTGTCCGTTTTTGTTGTTAGTTAAAATTTCTAAAGGTTCATGTTTTTGTATATGTCCCATCACATGATTTAAAGGTTGAAAATGGTCGTATAAAGACCGAAAATGTCCATAAATAAACATTCAATTCAATTAAAACTAAAACACATAAATCTACATATTTTGCCTCATTTATGACATATAGAAGTGTGTTATGTCATTATGACTTGTGCATAGAATAGTCGCAATGAGATTTTATATGATTAGCACTACTTTTGGACAAAAAAAAGGATATCATTATAAGATAAATAGTTTTATTCTATTCAGAGAATGGTTGAAAATCTAGTCTTTTGCTGATAGACACAGAGTAATTTAAGTTTGAAAAAGACACAAACTAGATTGTTTGGAACATTCATGGCCATCGATGCTGAACGTATAGCTTTTGAACAAAGCAGAGTGAAATTTTCAGGTTTGTTTAGAATTGTAGATCTTGACTAAGCTAGTCTATCACACTCTTTATAAGTGAAATAATATATGCTTTTCAAAAGATCTTTAGATATTTCTTTGAATTTCGCTGACTGCTTATAAGATTTGTGAACTGACCTTCTATAATATCATATAGAGAAAAGCAGACTGTCACTCTTTTCGTTATGGTGAAAACCGCACGTCGATAGCTGTTTCCATTGGGGAGTTATTCGGAAAATAACAAACCTTCTTTTATTTTGAAATCGATAATAGTAATGGCAGTTTTTTTTTCTCGTTAATACACAGTTTTAGTTAAATCTGTAATATTAGGGATATTATTCATCCGCAAGTTTAATTGATATTAAGTGTTGATTACCTATGTTGTTCCATAATTTTTGTCTTATCTCATTGTATTCAACGCAACGGATTCAATTATTATCCATCATCATTTATTCAGCACTTTTCCTTTCTACAATTATTACAAAGTTCGTACTCAGTGAACTTCACTCAATAAAGCCAAGGAGTCCAAGTACACTCCGTTACCTTATTTTAAAGAACAGATAACTGCGTATATATTTGAAGTGAATTCTTAGTGAACAGTCAAAGAGTGACTGTTACTAGAACATTCTAGTAGTTATTTGAAAAGTATAAGATGACCTACGACAATTATTTAACCAAAATGAAGTCTTCTGAACTTCCTTTGATAGTCATCGCTACATGTTTTGACATGACAATAACTAAACACCACATGTCACTTTCTACTGTCGATTAGTTTCAATTTCATTTGAAAATATAGCCCATATTGCTGTAGTTTTGTCAAAATATGATAAACTTTTCTCCTATGCTATGCTTATTTTGTCAGGAGGACCATTTATCGGTGATGTGATTGAGAAACATGCAATCCATCTCATAGGAACCAGTGACCTACATGCCATTGACATGGCACAGCGAATAAGGATTATGTTCATAGTACTGGTTTATTAATTCCTTAGAAAAAATAACAGTATCAAACAAGAATTTTTATTTATATTTCTGTTAACTATCGCCACTGAAACCTGCATTGCTTTTGACTACCAACCATATCCAACATCTGATCGCTCGAATAAGCATCAATGTACTTCGTGGTCACATCTGTTTGTGTGTTGCACAGACATTTAAGTGAATCACAATGGGATAGTTGACCATCAGCCGTACTTCCACCTACAAAATCAAATACATAAAATACAACCTATTTTAGTACAGAATTCAACACTAACCAGTACCAATTGGATCATTTTGAGCTTGACCGGTTTGACCGGGCATATTTCCGAACGTACCGTAACTATGTTTGGCTTGCGAAATTTCGAAATATGAAAACAAGAAAAAAACTGATCTTGTAGTGTCAGGCTCTATTTATTAGTTGTGTGCGTATCAATTCACCAAGTGCATTTTTAGTCGTATAAATGCTGTTTTTCATGTAACCTATCAGAATCTTTACTGTATACTTTTCCAGCGTAATAGATTGGAACTAGATCGATTTTATCTTTCAAAAATTCTTTTTACATTGGGAACTATAATTTTGTCGGCAAGTGATACATAGTTTATTTTTCTGCAGATGACGGAATATGTTTGCGCTTCTCCAGATCTCTTGAAAGCAAATACATGATGTCAAGTTCGATTCGAACACATGAAACAAAAAGTAAGACATAATTTGTCCTTATCTGGAGAAATTTCAATCTGAAAAAAATTGAACTTGCCAGGAACTCTTTTTTTTTTGCATAAATTAGAAACAGATAACACTATATTTTTATTAAATTGGTAAATATCCTAGAGGATGTCAGTTGATATGTTTATAGTAGAAAGATTCAAAGCATCATACGACGTGTTTTGACTATTGCTTAGCAGTAATGTCTGAACTAAAAGTTTTATTCAATTGAACGGCTACTCTTCACGTTTCAAGTTTCAAGTTTGGTCATGTAAGTTTCTTTATATGGCAGATCGAGGTTGTACCTTGAAATAGTGGTCTAGTTCGCAACAGATGAAAATATTCATTGATAATGGGATAGTCGATCTCGACGAAGAAATTTATGGTTAGTAAAATTAAGTGAAGAGCAGTGTTATTCATATGAGAGAACAAATTTATTCTTCCAATATCGAAACAGAATACCGTGATTACAAAATATGGTTAGTTATTTCTGTTTTTCAATTTTCGTTTGATCCTCATGCTAAATAAAACGCAAGCCAAGGACTAATGCTTACCAGAAAATTCGATCATTGTCATTTTTGTATGTTTAGAGAACGAAAGTAGTGACATTACAATAATGACGACACATTCTTCCCTAGGAACTTTCATATGATGCATTTTTAGAGTATCCCTGAAAATTCCAATTAGATAATAGCATAGGAAATATAAAAGCAAAAAAAAATGGGTTTTCGAGGCAAAGTTCCTGAGGGGAGCCTGGCACCCAACTCCTCCTCACCTTCCAGAATACCCAATATAAAAATGAATTCCAGAAAAAGTCTGCTTGCTCAAATATGTTGCTTCTTTTTTTATTTACTCATAGTTCATTAAAAGAATATATGAAAAACAAAAAGAAAGAAATGAAGATAGGCATATCAAGAGAAAAGAAAACACACGTTCAATAAACAAGAAATAACAATTTAATCTCTTGTAAAGTTTTTTTTTTAAGTACATGGCATTTTAATGTTATAGAAAATAGTTAATTATAAAAAAGCGAAAAAAAGAAATTCAATATAAATGGCACTCGAAAGCCTAACAACCTTCATATTATTGATACAAAAAATCGCCAGCTCACCAATGTAGCATAATCATCAATTATTTCAACACTATCTTCATATTCTGGTAATTAATTCAGTTGATCTCCTATTAAGAAGTGCTATTCGAAGTTAGCCAAGCATTACAATTTAGCGCAGAATTTTGGAAAAAAAGCGAAAATTAATCATGATATGTATGTTGACATCCAGAAACGTTTGAGTACACTCTCTTCCTTGTATCTGTACGTCTTTAGTCGATGACCCTATGAGATGCTGGAGATACTACGTAAACACGCATGACAACACACAAACAGAGAATCACAAGTGATGTGGATCTGCTAGAAGAAAAGTAGGAGGAATCTAATATTCCATCACAGGTGTGAGATTTGTGATATTGTTTGTATATATGCTTTAGATACAGTTGATAGAAAATTATTTAGACTCACAGAATACACGAGATATTGTACCAAAGCAGTCTTTCGACATGGAACACCTGCGGTGTTGAAAAAGTCTTCGGAAAATTTTAGATTCTTCTAATTAACGTTGAGGTTAACAGATAGGAAGAGTTGCTCTCATGAATTAATTTCTGGCGCATGTGAAAGTTTAATTGCTAAATTCAGAGAAAAAGATACATGACTTAGTTGGAGCAGAACTGGAAATAAATGTGAATATTGACTATTATTGTGCATAGTTTTCTAATTACTTCTTCAGTAGTTCACATCGCTTTAACCAAAGTCTTTTTTTTTCGAAAATAATACATTGATGCTTCAAACATGCTACCAATAATACGTCCAAAAGCTTATTTTTAATATATTACTTATTTTTTCAAGACCATATTAGGTACTCAATAAGCTTTTTTTTTCTGTTTATTTATGTACACTCCGATTTAACGATCGTAAAATGAATGATGCTATTATGTTTAATAATTATCGTTTTTCTTTTATTTCATGATCTTTAAGAAGAGTATGCGTGAATTTGTGATGCATATTTCTAGAAAAAAAGAACGAAAACATGCAGCATATTACCATCAAGATACTTTGCAGTTAAAACAAACTTCGTGAAAGACTACATAAATGCTGTGCTTCAAAATACATTCAAAAAGGAATAACGAAAAAATAAACTCGCAGGAGACGACACAAATGCTTTACTTTGAATCGTACTAAAAGAAGCACATCTCAGTATGCAAGTATATAATTAATATATGAAAGAAATACAAATTCATCCGAATTACAACTTAAAGACGATTGAATTCCTATTTACTTATTAGGCAAACATATTCAAACATAATCTCAAAACGACAGACTATCAAACACATTACTTTTCGTATCTTGAAGGATTCCTTTACAAACAGTAGCGATTCACTTCAGATTTTCTAAAAAAAAAATGGCTGCACCATGTTGTAATGTTGGACCACCAAAGCATGTCTACTCGGCTATTTTAAAGAATTCGAGCGGTCAAGATGTTGAACTCGAAATTGAATATATGGGCTCCAAACCGGATCATCGAGAAACAATTAAGATCAATGTTCCCAAGAATGGTTCACACAAAATCGTTGAAAAGACCGTACAGAGTGATGGCTGTGAACAAAGAAAAGTTCTTCAAAAGATCACTGTGCAGTACCAAAATGGAACGAAACAAGAACTCAAAGCACCTTTCGAAGGTGTCATCTCACCTCAACAAAATTGGCGATTCGAAATTGACCATGATCACATCCTCAAATCTTGCACAACGTGAATTACAACGAAATATTGCTGCTTTCTTCGACATGAGACTATAGATGCATATCTCCTGGCCTAGAATATTGACATCTTTCATAGAAGAAACGCATAATAACATCCCTCGCAACACATATAATGTTTTTAAAGCTATTTGACCTTCCCACTATGTTTAACCAGTTGTAATGCTGTCTCACTATTCTAATACTTTTTCAATCATCTTCTAGGTTATTATCTTTGTAAAATTGATAAGCTTTGCAATCTTATCCATTTGAAATGAAATGTTTGCGGAATAATCTTCCTCGAAAATCAATACTTGGCCTGATTGTTTTTAAAAACATACAACATTAGCATGGGGCTTGTGTTACACTGCTTTTCGCAGAGGTCGTCTATACTTATTTTCAAATCTCATCAAAAACCGGTTCAATCAAATCGGACGATTATGTGTGAATGTTAGTTGTGTTTTTCATACATTAACGCACACACTGATCTATACCTACTTTATCTCTCCATCGGCTCTGTTGTGATGATCTGCCTACTGTAGTTATGATAATCAACTAGTATTTACGAGTGTACAGATGAGAATGTGAATACTACAACCTGCTCCCCTCCTACTTACATACACACATGCAAACATATCTATACCCTTTTTTTAATGATATTTAGTTGATTTCGATGTGGAAGTTGTGCATTGAATGAAGACTGATGAGATATTCTGAATCAGTATCTTCAACGAAGTAGACTTATGTGTATTTAAAAATACTTTTGCAAACTTTCTTTTTCGTTAAAAAAATTTACTCCTGGTTTCTCTCAGAGTTGGGTCAAAAAATCCACACCTAAATATTGTAAAGTTGAAACTAGTATGTAAATTGTTTCAAATTCAGATAATACAATTTCGTCAGGACTCGATTAACTTTGGGCAATACATTTTAATTCTGTAAAATCTCGAAAATAGGATTCGATTTAATTATTCACAATTCAAATCTTTCTTTTTCGACTTTGATGATTGTCATCAGTTGGTTTTTATAGTATATAGCCTGGACAAATAATACAATGTAGATAATCAAATCATAGTTACTTTCGTAATTAACTATTAGATCGAAAGTTGTCATTCATAACCAGTACGTTTTGTTCATTACTGCATGAAACACGTCCTTGAAAAAGTTTGCCGTAGTAAATCATATTAAAATCAATGTGAACTAGATTGTTGAAATACAATGAAATCTGATTTTTCAGTCTTCTAATCAATTTTATTCGAAAGAAAATGGTTTAATACACTTTTATCGATTTGATAAAGAATAAATTTGAATCAATTATTTAGATTCTATGTGAGAAAATCTATCTAAATAGGTCGATTTTTATCGATAGTGGACGAATCAGAAGAATTTTTTGCGGTAGTTAGAGACTTAGCTTTCGTTTGAAGCTAAAAAACAAGTATTATCTTCGCATATAATATAGATTCGTCACATTTCTAAAGGATACTGAACAATTTCCAGCCACTCTTTGGCTTCGCACTATCAACCGTTTTATACCAAAGAAAATCGATTAGGAAACGATTATTATAAAAAGATAATCCAAAAAACCACTATTCCGTTGATTACTCTCATAAATTTCCATTATAATCAATAAAAAAAGCCTGTGCAGATAACATATCTTTAAAACGTTTTGCTTACTAGTCAATCGTATGATCTTTAACCCTTTCATGCCGGGTGTCCCATATACGTAACGGTGACATTTTTCCTTAGATACAGATATCAAATGGTACTCAAAATGATATTTGGTACTTGTGTCTAAGGAGCTCCTTCTACTATAACGAGAGAGAGACTATGGGCGTCGAAATTTTATAGGAAAGACACGCTTTAAGTGCGAAACTCCGAGCGTCCCTCATTCTCTCTCAAGAGTCTCTAATAAAGTAAGTCTATCGATACATCAAAACGCTTCTAATGAAAATTATACTACAAACGGCGGAGCTCAGGGCGCTCATGCAACATCCTCCTTGGGAGAAGAAAACGTTTGGAGGGAGATACAGGACTAAAATACTATTCGCAGGATCGAGCATCTTCTATGCTGGCATGCATTCCCTGAGGAAATTGGTGACTCGGGATCGGGCGTAGGCTATTAAGTGCTGAGACTTAGGGCAATAAAAGAGAGCGCTGTGACTTTTGGACGTGCAGTGTTTTAAAGACCATAATAAAGACTATTTTTTGAAAAAATACAAACATATTTTCCGCTAAAAAACCCCGGCGTGAAAGGGTTAAGTGATCTTCTTTGTTATGCATCAACTATAATCAATCTTTTTTTTTATCAAAATTAGATCTATTTTAATCTTATATCTCGTCTAACTTTTTAATTTTGGTCGAGAACTGCATTTAAACAAAATTGTAATGGTTGTTTTTAGAAATCAATTAAAATATATTAGGTTTTTAATTGATGCAACAGATTATTTGCCGAAAAATTGGCTTCAATTGATTACAGTCCGAAAAAATCTCATTAAATCTATTATTTCGTTGAATTTAATCCGAATGTAACATATTTAATCGATTTTTTGTGATTATTGTCTGAAAATATATTTTAATCTGATTTTTCGACCGTTTGTTTTACATGGGTGTATTTTCCACATCTAAATCCCTACTTTGAAAATGACGATTTGATCGACAAGCACTATATTTAACTATACGAATGACGCAATCAACATGATTACAATCACGCTAAATATGTAAAGTTCTGGTACCGTTAAGTTCAATCTGACTAATTTCTAAAAGAATGAATTCATTCCACAAGCTCTGAGTATTTGAAATGTCAATGATAAATATGATTTCATGTGTTCACCATGGCTATCGCAGAATGATTAAAAAACCCAAAATACTAGTTAATTCACGACTTACAGAAATATATCTTATTGTTGAAGTTTATTGATAATAGTTCTAAATCACACGTCATTTTATTGTTATCGACTTGTAGCGTATTTGGAAAGTGAGAATAATATGTTCTTGATTTTCAAATGTAATAATCTCACTCAATTTCTTGATAAGCTCAGAGTTAATTTCAATTCAGAGTTGCAGTTGCTCATCTATAAAAATAATCAATATCAATACAATTAATAAATTTTCTATCAATAATGTGTATTATCGAGAGAGGTATTTTTAAATATAATATAGAAATATATGCTGTATAACTATAATACTCACACCAAAATATGACTTCACAATTTATAGACTTCAAAGCAAACAACTATGACTTACTATATTAATTTCTGTCTCTTATTAATGAAATAAAACAAGTAGATTAGATTAGCCAGCGCAAGAAGTGATCAATCAAGTCAGAAAGAGAGAGAACCTAGCGAGAACAACAGGCAAAAATGAGAAGTAATAAGAAGATGACAATACAGGTGACGTCATACACTCATTTCCCCCGTTGTTCTAGACGTCTTTCATAGGTGATCCCAATAAATCAGAATAATTTAATATCTATTGATGCAGATATAGAGGCAGATTATATGTTGTTGTAAACATTTTTGTATATTCGATACAAAAAAAGAACTACCTCAATAGAAATAAGTCTTATGAATACTTTGTATCGATTATAAGAAAATTAATTTCGTTCATATTAACATCACACATGTTGATCATAATTCTAACGATAGAATTAAACAATAGCTTACAACAGTATTTATTATTAATTAAAATAAACGAGTCTAACAGTTAAAAAATTTATTCAAATAATATAAAAGTTATGAAAACAAGAGAGAAAAAGAAATAGTAAATACTGTATTCTATCTATTTGATTAACCGATCGTGTTATTCTATAGATACCATTGACCTGATATCGGAAATAAGAAATAAAATTGTTTCATCTAAAACTTCTTCGTTTTTTACTATGCAAATGAAACCAGATTACGTCTGGTTGCCAAAAACAAAAAAAAATTACCATTAATAGACAAACGAATATGCATTAGCATATTAAAATAACGCTCAATCTTCGTATTAAGCACGCACAAAATCAATTATATCGATCAAATCATCTTTTAAAAAATATAATTATCATTTTCTCCGCTCCTTTGAGATTATTATATTGCATTGAATTTATTGTTATTTCTTATACGAAGAATTGACACTCGAAACTAGTTGAACGATCCTTTAACTTTTATTCATTCTATTCTCAAATCAAGTTATTTTTTATACTTTCATCTGATATTGTCTAATTACAACAATAAAAAACATTTGATGCTCTATCACAATCAATGAAATACTGTTTGAAAAATTGGTATTTATCTATCAAATAGAACCCTTATCAATTCTATAACAAATATTTTATTTGTTACTACTTTATTTGTGTTTTATTTTTATTGAAATGTAATATTTATCATGTACAATCATTAAAAATGAAAATTCTACTGCACTATGTTTAGAACGTCTATAGTAAGTTACTATTAACTAGTGATATTTGGAGTCAAATTATAGATTATTATTGAAGATTCCACTTTTTTTCTGGTTAATAGTTTAATTTCAGAAAAGTAATATATAATGTATGACAGATTGCACAAAACCGCCTACATCCGTATTCTCGAGTTTTTTTCTGAACATCATACTTGTTGGTTATTTTGCCGCTTTGTTTTTTCATTATTGAAAGAAAAAAAAAAGATGAATGAATGTTGTTTGAGAATTGACATCATCATCACTCATCAATCTTTCTTCGTTCATCTGTAATACTTATATTAACAAAAATCTCAATTATTATTGCAATTCGCGAGATAAAGAAAATATTTATATATAAATCTAGACAAGAAAGAAAATAATAATAATATGATAAAAGAAACGTATCAAGTTGTTTCGTAACGGACATTATTTTAGTGAATGGGGAATAAGAAACTAAAGCAGGGAACGTTCATATACATTTATATAATGAAAAAAAAACGCGATGCCGACGTTACGGCAAAAATATTGTGTGTGAGGCAAAGAAGAATCGTTCTCTAACAGTTGATCTCTCTATCATAAATACACACATCCATATAAGTAGCCG